GTTAAGGGGGGAGGGTGTCTCCTTAATGCCAGAGGTGTCCTATTGGGGACAAATCAGGACGGTAAAGTCCAGTAATTTTAACGCAAAAATTGCCAAAATATTGGGAATTAATCATATCAAATTAATTCCAGTTATCTTAAGAGGACCGTTATTCTAGTCGAAAGTCTCAGAATTGGTATGGGAGTTACCTCCCTTGGACCTTTTCGTCTACTTTGCTCCTTTAGAAATCTTCAGCTTTGGAGATAGGAACTAGTAGCCATACATTTAAAGCAAAGGATTAGATTGTTCATAATTTACAGTTTACTTTTCCAAATCCCACCCTTCCCATCCAATCACATTTATTTTTGATCCTGTCAAGTTTGGTTTCCAGTTTCTGCTGTTTTTTGTGTTCTTTTAGTTTAAATCAATTTTATTGCAACAAAAGACAAATGGATTGGACAAAAGTTATTGCAACTTACTTACGTCCTTTCCGTAACAGAAAATATATATACAAAATTAATGTGTCACGAAATAACCTAATACAAATTTATATATATGTATATATATATACAAGATGTTAAAGATGGGTTACAGCAAAAGAGGTAATGATAGGATTAGGGCCACCAACGTATAGTTTTTAAATATGTATTCGGAGAGTTTACTTGAGATCGCGTGTGTGATTTTCCCAATCGAGTCGGCGTAATTAGTATAACTAATCTATACACACATATCCTTCTGCTTTTCTAAAGTTCAATCACATCCCGTGCCGCATTTGCCTTTCCTGTGTCACTCCAAGTCCTTCTGTGAATTCCTGCCTTACATACTTAGCCGACTAGATTAGGAAAACCGAACACGCACTCTTTGTCATATGGAAACGGTTATGATATTGATGGACGCTAAGATTGAAGTTAGTACACAGAGATCGTTGGTGTTGGAAAAAGGGAGAGGGGCTGGAATAAGAGAGGAGGTGGAGGGGAGAGACAGATGGGAATAGTCGAAGTAGGTACCTGGTTATTCAATAAGACTGTTGGGTATTACATGTTCAACCGTTTGGAGCTAAAAATGAACAGTTGTACAGACCTACAAATTTGAATGTTTAGATTGTAGTCAAGGTTTGCATCTCCGAAGAGAAGGTGTTCAACAGTGATTTCGTTATACCAATCGAGGGATTG